TTTTTTGTTTGTTTGTTTGTTTTCCCTGCTCACCCATTCATGGCTAAGTAGCCATCTAACAAAGGGAATGAATGTAGTTAGGCAGTCCTGGGATGCTCCAATATTGGGAAGTCAGGGAGATGGGGAGGAACTACCAAAGATTATTAAGAGTAATCAGTGAGCAGGGAAGAAAAGGCCTAAAACTGGCTATCACACTGCACAATGAACATCACTGGTGGCTTGACAAAAGTTATTTTATTTTAGAGGAGCAGTGTGAGTGAAAAGCTAGCTGGATTTAGTAGATGGAAAAATGGTGAAGATGCAAAGCAGAGAAGGAGAGAATTGCTGAAAAGATGTCTCTAAGGGAATGTAGAGATCTAGTGAACATGGAGAGTTGACCACAGAGGGAAGTAGAGATAGTTAATTTAAAGTTAATAGCAGTGTGGCTGGACATGGCTGTCAGTAGCTGAGTAGATATGGGAGCCCAAGATTCTCTTCTTGTTGCTTCTATTTCATTCTTATCAAACTACAAATGCCTCACTCTGAGAGGACTTTAAGCCAGAGACAAACCTCTCTTGGGGTCATGGAACCGTACTGAAGGTGGATGGGAAGGGTTAGAAGAGACTTTCTCTAAGGTAGGAAAGGACAGGCTCAACACTGACCATCAGCATTAGCACAACAATGGTACCATTCTGCAGAGTACAAAGTGCGGTACAAGATAGCATTACAGTTTCTATTTTAACTTTGTTTCCAGGTCTAGTGTCATAATTACAAATCTTTTAGTTAGACTTGCTTCCTATACAGACCTCCTCTAATTACTATTGTTAATCTGAAAAAATGATAAGTTTAAGTAATGAACTTAGTAACATGAGGTCCATTCAAAATGAGAAGTCTGTCCATTTCACTACCTTAAAATACTACAGGAAATCTCATTATTCCACAAATATTAACTACAATATCCCAAAGCCTCCAGATGTTTATATTTTTTAATTTTTTTCATTGTTGATAGACCTTTATTTGTTTTTACGTGGTGCTGAGAATCGAACCCAGTGCCTCACACATGCCAGACAAGTGACCTGAGCCCCAGCTCCAGCCCAGATGTGTATATTTTTAAAAAAATTTTTTTTAGTTGTAGATGGGCACAATATCTTTATTTATTTTTATGTGGTGCTGAGGATTGAATTCAGTGCCTCACATGTGTGAGGCAGGCACTTTACCACTGATCTACAGCCCCAGCCCCCAGATGTGTGTATTTAGAAAGAATTCTGGCCATTATCTCCCTTCAAGCAGAAAATTGGACTAGTCATGGAATACTATTAGCTGACTTGTCAAAAAAATAAACCTGTCAAATAAGCACCTGTGAAGAGGATTGATTATACAGACTGTTAAAACTTGCCTAAGCTTAGAGTTGTAAATAAATCAATAAATTCTATAGATACATAAGAAAATAAAACAGTCCCAATCCTATAAGTTTCATGTGTCCATAGCAATTTTTTCCTAAATTTTCTAACATTTGAGGCAACTACCAAAAGTAACTCCAAATAATGCATTCATAATTGTGCTAACTGCTAATCTAAATGAACACATTTGGTAGGCTATCTCTGCACATCAACAAAGTAACCTAATAGAGGAGTGTGCTTTTGAAGAACAGAAGTTCTCCTCAGCAACAATAAAATCTCAACTGTGGTTTTCACAAACACAGAAACTGATTACAGTCTGCTGCTGTAGAAAGAATATCTATTAACATGGAGATAACCCAATTAATATATTCTGACCCTTTATAAACATTAATTCTCACACCAGGGGTTCCTGTTTCTGTTTTCCTTGCCTGTAAAGGAACGACCTGTGGAAGACTAGCTTTGAAGAGGTGCACAAAAGAACGACACAGATACACAGTATAAGTGGGCAGAGGTGGAGCAAAGAGGAGTGAAGTCATGAAGAAGGATAGAAGTGAAGTGTCTGCCCCTCCCTCCTGCCAAGTTTATTAACTCAAAAAAAGTTACATATTACCCATCACACCTGACTACACTCTAATCAGTTCCTTTAACCCTGAGTGCTAGCTAACTGAGATAAGGTCCAGGTTAATACAAACACAGACCCTCTTACACCCAAGGATGTTACTATGGAAACCAGGTAGTGCACCCCACATAGTTATCTTAAGAGCCTCAGGGGGAAACTGCTAGGCATTCCAATGGTGGGAATCAGGGTGCCAGTTACCCCCTTGGGAGTTTGCTCACAGGGGGAACACTTCTCTATTTCCACAGTCGGAATACCTACACTTGCCTTACTCCCAAAGTTTCTCAGCCTTGAGACAGCTCACATTCTTCTTTGAATGTGTTTCTGCTTTCAATATACCTCTTTTTGTTTTTAACTGGCACACTGTGAGAATGGCCTTAGGCCTGAGCCTAAGCAACTCCATTTTAAAAACTCCAGTTTGAAACCTGCAGTCTCACCAGGCACATCCAACAAATCCCTCCAGTATGGCCTCAAACAAGTTATTTCCCCTCACCTAGATAAATAGAGTGAAGCCTCTGGCAGGCTGTCCTCACCAAATAAAAGGGAAAAGCGAGAAGATCAGGGTGGAGACCACGAGATCAGATGTTTCTGATCCCAGGGTAAATGATGTCATGGAGAAATCCGGTGGTAGTTAAGGATTGAAATGGGGGTTGAAAGCCTCAAAATTTAATATAAATAATAGAGCTAATGAACAGGGATCAGCCAGCCAAAATAAGGATGCACTCAAGCTGGAGAGCCTGATGAGGACCTGGACTGATATCCCATCACTTGTCATCGTTTCCTAATTCTTTGCATGATTCTCACCACTCTCAAACTCTACCGTCTGTCTGGACCTTGATGAGAGCTACAACTTCTCCCTACGACCCTCTCCTCAACCGGGTGTCCACTCCATGCCAGGAAAAGCCTGCCTTTGTTCCAGACCTGATCACCATGGTCTGAGTGAGTGTGCATCTGCTGGACTTAAAGCCTTAAGACTTTTGATCTGACATTTGAACTTAGCATGCAGAGGAAATGTCTGTCACTAGCCTGTCGTGATTAACTGTGTTTTGCAATGCTTAGAATTAATCTAGAATTGTTTGTTGTGAATTTATTATGTCTATTGCAGTGCCTAGCATTAAGGATTGTTTTCTTGATTAAGAATCTATAGTGAAATTGTATTGAGTGATTTGAGGGAATAAAGCATTGAAAGGGGCAGAAGCACGTGGACATTCTTTATATCTCCCCTCGACTACATGCGTCGCAATTTTGCCCCCTCGTACACACGTTTAAATTATTTTCTATTATATGTACCAAGAACCCCAGTGGTCCAGAGTCAATTTCCTCCTTCTCTCTGGGAACTCCTCAGATCCTTCTTCAGAGACATTTCTTCTCCATCTCAATGGCAACATTTTTCTGCAAAAGACTAAACAATAAATATTTTAGGCCTTGCAACCATATGATGATACTTATGACTACTCAACTCTACTGTTGTACAGTAAAATCAGTAAAAGACAATATAAAAATAAATGTGTTGCATTCCAATTATTAAAAATCTGAGATGAGTTAAACTTATTTCAGCATGAAAAAGGTTCTAGGACCAAGCAACATTCCAGATGAAAGCTGGTTCCAAATAGAATACCCCACTGCACACGTATAAGCTATATTTATAGTTTAAAGTGAAAAGAAAATGACAGAGGAAAAAAAAAAAAACTTGTTTGGCCAGAGGTCCCACTGCTAATCAACTGAGACTCAACTGCCTAGTAACAAAATTTGTTTATATATCAAGATAAGATACTGTTCACTATATATAGAAGCCACTCTGGGGAGAACTTTATCATTCCAGCATGGAGACTGATTTGGGCCAAACTCAATTGAACACACACAAATTATGAACAATAAAACTTAAATACCATGTAATTTTCACCTATCAGGAAATACTCATTTTTTGATTTCTTTTCCCAATCATTTGACAGTGTAAAAACACTCCTAGCTCACAAAATCAGTGGGTCAGGCCTCATTTACCTAGTTGCCCTGATCTACCTGATAACTTCTAGTCACTGATGATAACAGCATTATCCAAACTTCAGAAAAGTTACCCAAGAAAGACAAAAAAGTTAGAAACTGGTTTCAAGATCTTGTTCTACTTCCAGAAGACAAATCTTGATTTCGCCTTTCTGGGAATTTAACAGACTGTCTGGGTCCCTTAACCTCTTGTTATACCAGAAAACCATCCAATTGAAAGGTATGGAGAAACCTAAGATGCAAGATCTCAGGAAAAGCAATCAAGATGGGCAAAACTTCAGGCAGACACTACAGTGCCCCCTAGATCTTCAGGCACAGTTGTCAACCAAAGGCTCAAAAATATGCTGGTGCGGGCTTCAGCTATAATGAGGCTACCATTCTGAGTGAGGTAGACATCAAGGTGCAATGTGGCCGGGATCCGATCTAGTAGAAAGCAGCGCCTACAACCAGCTGTTCGGTGAGATTTGAAAACAAGGGCCGTCACAGCTTTGCACTCCTCTTGAGCTCCTGCTGCTGACAATTACCCATTCTGTAACCACGAAGCGAGGACACTAAGACTGACCCTTACACCCAGACTTAGGGTCATCAAGGACCGCCAATATTTTGGAGCTGCCTGAGGCTCCCAGCACAGTAGCATGCCGCCCAACAGAGAAGCCAGCTTCTCAGTCTCCCTCCCGGGGGCTGGACAGCGCAGAAAACCTTTCCGGGGCAGTTAAGACGTCCTCCTGGCACAGGGGGCACAAATGCGAGAAAACAGACAAGCGAAAATAAACCAAAATGACAAAAACCGCGCTTCTCGTCACAGTGACGTGGAAGTCTTAACGCCCAAGCTATAAACCCTAAATTCGAAATCTCGCGGGATCTTGCCGTTCTCTGACGCTCAGAAATTGCGACATCTCACAGAAGTTTCAGAGGCTACTACAGGCGATTGCTGTGGCTCAGCGCAGAGCGGGAGGGTCAGGTGACCTAAAGGCTCCGCCCATGTCTTTCCTTACCGGTCCGTCTCACGCCTGCGCGGGCAAAGGAGACTTGGCGCGTGGCTTGGGCTGCCGGCGCTATGGGGCTGACCCGCGTGCGGGCTATTTTCTTTGACCTGGACAACACACTCATCGACACGGCCGGGGCGAGCAAGAGAGGCATGTTGGAGGTAACGTCCCGGCTCCCTTGGCTCTTCTCCAGACTCAGCACGCCCCAACCCCGTACTGCGCGGGTCCCCCAGTGCCCACTTCCCAGACCCAGGAAGCACTGGCCGCACTCGTCCTTGGAGACTTCAGTAGCTCTCTGGGGGCTGGAAAGACCTGGGAAAGGGCGAGCGGGCTGGGGGTCTCGGCTGGGAGGGGACTGCCTTCCCCGACCCCAGTCCATAGGCTCAGGGAACTGGCTTCTTGCAGACGGTTCCTGCTCAGGGGACCCGGAAGCATGTCCTTAAAACTGCCACGATAGTGGAACCGCCCACAAACGCAGGTAGATGGTCACCGTGCCACTGTACACCCGTGCTGAGCCAGGTAGAGTTTGGACAGTTCAGACTATGCGCGCATGCATCTGAGCTTAGTGGCGGGTCTTGCGGGAGGGACATTTCCCCCAACTTCGTCTTCAGTGGACTTAGAAGAGAATCATTGAAGGCAGCCCCAATTTTTGACCCAAGAAGTTACGTAAGTATCAGAGGTGAACCCCGATTTGAAGCTGCATCTGAGAATTTTTTCTGCAGAACTCGCTTCTGGCTTTCCTGATCTGCTCAGATTTCCAAGGAGACACTGCAAAAATCCGTGCTGCCCCGGTGAGGTATTGCTCAGCAGCATCCTCTCCGTGTACCTACAAATGCTGTTGCAGACCTTCCCGGCGTTTTCCAGCCCCTAATCCACCCTTGCTTTCCTTCCTCTACCTTCAGCTTCAAGGAGAAATCGAAGGATTATCAGATGTGAAAAAACCCACTTTCAAAAGCCAATCCTTTCAACTCTGAATGTCCCGTCCTTCATACTTCATCAGGTAGATTCCGTCTCCCTGGATCTTCAGCTTCTTCATCCTTTTTTTACCCCCTTGTTCATTCCACTCGTGCTGCATGTTCGTAGTCTTTTTTGTGTGTTTTTTTAAAAAATGAAAAAGAACACCTCCCTTGGACTCTTTCTATAGTATATATTGCCTATCTCTCTCAGCCATGGTTTTAGAGAAATCTATGCCCCTGATTTCCTTGTCTCTATCTCCTATGTATTCCTAAATCCATTGCAAGGTAGCTTCTGTCTCTAGCTCTAGAATGAAATAGATGTGCCAGGTAATTGGGCCTATCCCCACAGTGCCAGAGTCACTGGATATTTTGAATGTATTTTTTATTTGTTTGTTTGTTTAATGGTGCTAGGGATCTACTCCATGGCCTTGGCACATGCTACACAAATGCTCTACCACTATACTACATCCCTAGCCCTTTGAATCCATCTTCATGCCTTTGACCTTGACCTCAAGGACACATCTCTGTGCTATATTGCCTCCAGTAATCCTAAGTGCCAACAGTACATATTTTTTTAAAGAGAGAGAGAGAAGAGAATTTTTTAATATTTATTTTTCAGTTTTCAGTGAACACAACATCTTTATTTTATTTTATGTGGTGCTGAGGATGGAACCCAGCGCCCCGCGCATGCCAGGCGAGCACATTACCGCTTGAGCCACATCCCCAGCCCAACAGTACATATTTTTCTATGTGTTCTTAACAAGCTAAGACCAGTATGTTGCAATTAAATTCTTGTTTTAGGCCAGTTTTTGCTAATAGGACAAGAGTTCAAGCTTTGAAATCAAATATTTGAATTAATAACTGTCAGGTAAGTTTAATACAATGCATGGGAAGTACAGAGCATCCAGTGTTTTACTCAGTGAATTGTACCACCATGTACCCTAACTTCTACCCCAATGCATATCCCCCTTGCCATTATTTTAGTTACAGCTAGACTCATCTCTCATCTAGACTGTTGATGTGATCTTGTCTCCAGGCTGGCCACATCTAGTTGATCCTCCGTGTTCCTGTCACAGAGATTTCTAAAGCAAAAATTAGAAGTAGAACCAGATGCAGTGGAACATGCATGTGGTCCCAGCTACTCAGGTGACTGAGGCAGGAGGATCATTTAGTCCAGGAGTTTGAGACCAGCCTGGGCAACATAGTAAGACTCTGTCACATACACACACAAAAAAATTAGACTATATTTCTTCCTACTCTGTCACTTTCACTTGTATATCAGTACCATATTTTGTTTTTCAGATATCTCTTACTGCAGCTATTAATAGATGTTGTTAATTTTTGCAGCTTAGGTTGCCTACAGCTAAATAGTGAACTTTGTTTGACTCATGGTAAATGTTGAATGAATATTGGGTTGATGGACAAAAATTTTAATCTAGTCTTAGTTCTGTTACCACTCCCTTTATAAATAACTTATTAATTAAGCAGAGTTTAATGGTGTGAAAACTTTATCATGCAAGGATACATCACTACTCATAAGTGTTGATCTATTCTTAAGTAACCCATGTCAGATTTCATAAATCATCACAAATGATTTATGAATCAAAAAACAGGGAAATGTCTGGTCTTTATCTTGGGCTTAGGGAGAAGAAGTAATATACTGACTATATATGTCAGTTTAAATATTTTTTTAATCATCTGAGAAAGGTATATTTTTTTAACATCTTCAGACCTGTTTTTCAGTGTCAATACCCAAGAAGAAGGCTTATACAGAAATGTAGTTTCTCACTTAAACAAAGCAGAAAAATTTTTGTATTTGTGAATTTACTTTTAAGTGATATGACAGAAGACATAATAAATATATTTATAGATGCATTAGAAAAAGTGGAGGAGGAAATGAATTGCAATTTCAAATAGTTTGGTCAGATTTGGCCTCATTGGATAGATATTGTGTGAGCAAAGACTTATAAACTAGAAATAACAGAAAGTCTATTTGAAATGCAAGACTGTGTGCAGATAGTCATACTTTGTGGGTGTGTATTTTGTGGGGGAAGGGGGGACATACTAGGGATTGAATTCAGGGGGCACTAGATCACTGAGCCATCTCCCCAGCCCTTTTTTGTATGTTACTTACAGACATGGTCTCACTTCAATGCTTAGCACCTTGCTAAATTGATGAGGCTGGCTTTGAACAAGCAGCCCTCCTGCTCAGTCTCCCCAGCCACTGGATTACAGGCATGTACCACCACTTCTGGTTTATTTTTAAATTCAGCCCCTTCACATCCAAATAATTGGTATTAAGAAAATACTTTTGCCCAATCATATGATATCAAGTGTTACGTGGTTCCCAAACCAGCCCCTCACATAAAATAACAGTTAGCTAAACTCTAGTTTTCATGATAATAATATTAGTGCTAGATCCAGAGAGCAGGAAGTAGAATAGATTTCCTTTTTATACATATTCTGAAAGACAGCCTTAGAGATTTGAAGTGGATGAGTTTATTTTAATCTATAAACTAATAACCCCCAACTATCATAATAGGTACCTGATGGGCTCATTGTATTTGAATCCTTTATAAATCTGCTTTCCCCATGTATAAAATGTCCTCATCCCTTCAAGTTAAAAATCTTTTCCTCCACCTCCAATTTAATCAAAATTCATAGTCTCAACACAGGTGCTAGGAGAGTTTGTAATGTATACTGATTAAACTTAAGTGTTAGTTCTATTTGAACTAATATGTAAATGATAAACTGTTCCCTAATGATATTAACATTATTAAAATGCTTCCTCTTGTCCCCAACAAATCTGTGGTTGCTGTGTGACAGCAATGGTGTGTGACTAATGAGAAACTTAATGCAAAGGATGTAATAGGAGAAATTTTGAAACTCAGGGAGCAGTATGCCATGTCTTCACAAATATCTTCCCTTTAAAGTGAGCCAATTCTGTTTTTTCAGAGCCCCAAAGAGTGTGGATTACACATTGCCAATTGTAGTGACAGGTAATTGGATTATTATTGAGAACTCTCTGTTATCTAGCTGTGAACCAGCCATTTGCTCTCTAACACTGTGCAGTCCTAGAAGCCTATGTCCTTTCACTGTGAAGCAAGGGTACTAAAACTAGAAAATGCCCTTTGATCATAGCTTAAGAGTAATTAAGTTATGTTTTCTAGAAAAGATAGTAACATAATCACAGAGGTTGAAAAGGCTTGATTGAAATTTTAACTTGACAGAGCAAAAGTTTTTAAGTATTTTGCCTTCATCTAAAACTCTTATGGCTGGTTGTTTGTTTGTTTGTTTTGGTATTAGGGATGAACCCAAGGGCACTTTACCACTGAGCTCTGTTTACTTTTTAATTTGAGACAGAGTCTCACTAAGTTACTTAGGGCCTTGCTAAGTTGCTAAGGCTGTCCTTGATTCTCCTGTCCCAGCCTCTTGAGTTACTGGGATTACAGGCATGTGCCACCGTACCTGCAACATTTTCTGATAAGCCAAATAGTCTGAATTTTTTTCTTTGTCAAAAAGGATTCTCATATGCTTGAGGGGAAAACAATGTATGTTTTATCTTTTTTTCCTTTTCAATAGGTGAAGCAGGTTTCTGGTGTGAATAGCATGCCACTTGTTCCTTGTGTAGTTTAGAATAATACATTTTTACTTTTTAGACTGCTTTGCTTGGATTTTGTTTGGTTGGTTTGGTTTTTTATTTTTTGCAGTGTTGGGAATCAAACCCAGGGCTTCATGCGTTCTAGGTACATGTTCTACCACTGAGCTACACACCTACCCCATCACAGCAGACACTTTTTAATCCCAGCCAGGTACATTGCATTTATTTCCAAAGATACCACCCACCCCAGTTGCCCTGCATGGTCAACTTTTGTCAGAGGCATACCCTGAGACAGGAACTTCAGGTGCAGGTATTCATTTGGGAGTTGATCCCAGGAAGCACTCTAAGGCTGTGGAAAAGTAAGACAGGTAGGAAAAGGAATCTAATGCAGGTGATTAATGAGCAGGTTTCTATTTGTGTGAGTAGTGGGGGATGTCTGGGAGGCAGTATACAGAATACAGTTGTCCTTCCCAAGGAAAAAAAAAAGCACGGGGCTGGGGAATGTGGCTCAAGCAGTAGCATGTTCGCCTGGCATGCATGCAGCCCAGGTTCGATCCTCAGCACCACATACAAACAAAGATGTTGTGTCCGCTGAAAACTAAAAAATAAATATTAAAAAATTCTCCCCCCCTCTCTCTTTAAAAAAAAAAAAAAAGAAAAGAAAGAAAAAAAAAGCAGTGATATTTATCCAACAATTTTAGTCCCTCCTTGGTTGAGGGTTGCTCCAAGGCAACTCTTCAGCTGCAGACTGGACATGTATGTGTCTGAGGCCAAATAAAGTCTGTAAGCAAAGAAGCAAGAAGACTTGCAGTATGAAGGCATTGGCATATATGGGAACAGCAGGTGCCAAGGAGTTTTAGGCAGCATCCACTACAGCATGGGTTTCTAGGCCTTTTATGAAATGGTTTCAGATGGCCTCTACAGCCTCGTCTCTTAGCATCCTTCCTCAGACACCTCCCATTTTGGCTCAACTCAGCTTGCCTTTTCTAGATAAAAAATGTTTGAGCCAGACACAGTGGCACATGCCTCTAATCTCAGCAGCTCTGGAGACTGAGGCAGGAGGATGGTGAGTTCAAAGTGAGCCTCAACAACTGAGCAAGGCACTAAGCAATTCAGCAAGATCCTGTCTCTAAATAAAATATTAAAAAGGACTGAGGATATGGCTCAGGGGTTAAGCGCCTCTGGGTTCAATTCCTGGTACCAAAAAAAAAAAAAATCCAAGCTCTTGGCCTCATTCCTTCTGTCTAGAATGATTTGAATCCTTCTCCCATAACTACCTTATCTGCATGGTAACACCTTCATTTAAATGTGACTTCCTCTGCTGAGACTTATCCAACTACCCTTAACAATTAGTTCAATTTTTTCCCCCATCATGCTGGTCCACTCAACTGTCACAGCACTTAACCCAGCATTTACAGTGATTGTGTGCCTGCTTTTCCATATCAGAACAAGAGAGCTGGTCTCCAGGGTCTAAGACATAATGTCAAGGCTAGTGTTTGGGCTTTGGAAGTAGGTAAATGTGGATTAATATAGCTTGGGCAACTTTTTAACAGTTCTACACTTCCATTGCCTCATGTTAAAAAGGGAATTCCCTTGTAGAGTTGTAGAAAGGGATAGAAGTAATGTTATGTGTATCTTTAGTAATAATGTTTGCCATGTTAAGGTTCGTAGTAAATGTTAAAAGATAGTCCAAGTAGATAAGAATATAGAGCAATAAGCTTGCGGTTGTAGCTTAGTAGTAGAGCACTTGCTTGTCATAACCAAGGCATTGGATTCAATGCCCAACACTGCAAAAAAAGAGAAAAAAAAATGAAATGGCTGTAGACAAGAAAAAGTTAGACAAACTAGCATTAGTTTTTCTGGGAAGAATCTAAACAATGCTTGTCAGAAAATAAGCACAAGTTTTATTTTCCCGTTGTTGTGACCAAAATGAAAGGTGATGGACTTAAAATTGCAAAATAAATGAAGGCTGTGTGTGAAAAAATCTTAGAATGGAAATTTTTTTAAGGTTATATCTTTTCAAGATGAAGCAGTGGAAGTTTAGAACTGTTAAAAACTCACCTAAGTTGGGCGTGGTGGCACACACATGTAATTCCAGCAGCTTGAGGAGACTAAGACAAGGGGATCACAAATTCAGGTTCCAGCCATTGCAACTTAGCAAGGCCCAAAGCCTATTTGCAAGATCCTATCTCAAAATAAAAAATTTTTTAAAAGACTGGGGATGTTGCTCAGTGGTTAAGCACCCCTGGGTTCAATCCCTGGTACCAAAAGAAAAAATTTTGCCCAAACTGGGATTCAGACCCATATTTGCCTGTTTCCAAAGCCACATGCTTATCTTTCTGCTATGTATGCCACACACATAAAGACAGAGAATTAGTTGTCTGGAGAGATAAGAGGTCCTCACTATTTGATGTCTTTAAAAAACTAAGGTCAACTCCACCAGAAATGGTGCGGTAATGGAGCTGCTTCAGACTCAGCCACTATAGGACCACAACTTCTAAGGACATTACTGTTACAAAGTGTATTAATGGAGTTATTTTCCTTTGTTTAGGTAATAAAGCTCTTAAAGTCAAAATACCATTATAAAGAAGAGGCTGAAATCATCTGTGACAAAGTTCAAGTTAAACTCAGCAAGGAATGTTTTCATCCTTATAGTACATGCATTACAGATCTGAGGACTTCACACTGGGAAGAAGCAATCCAGGAAACAAAAGGTGGCGCAAACAATAGGAAATTGGCTGAAGAATGTTATTTCCTGTGGAAATCTACCCGTTTACAGCATATGACCCTAGCAGAAGACATCAAAGCCATGCTCACTGAACTTCGCAAGGAGGTCCGCCTTCTCTTGTTAACAAATGGTGACAGACAAACACAGAGAGAGAAGATCGATGCCTGTGCCTGTCAGTCCTACTTTGATGCTATTGTTGTAGGTGGAGAACAGAAAGAGGAGAAACCTGCACCTTCCATATTTTATCATTGCTGTGATCTCCTTGGAGTACAGCCTGGGGACTGTGTGATGGTTGGTGACACATTAGAAACTGATATACAAGGAGGCCTCAATGCAGGACTGAAAGCAACAATCTGGATAAACAAAAATGGAATAGCACCACTGACATCATCCCCCATTCCACACTATATAGTTTCTTCTGTACTAGAATTACCTGCTCTCTTACAAAATATAGATGACAAAGTCAATATGTCAGCTTAAAGCACATATTACGTTCAGTTCTAAGAATAACTTGACTTAAGATTTAATGACCATTTTGTGAAGGTCCTCCCAACTTTATTGCTTTTGACAACCAACTATTGACTTGTATTTATATCCGAAAATGCAGGTTGCATTAATACAGGTTATTTTCAGGAATATGTAGTCCAGAAAACTTGAGGAAATACATTATTTGTTAGTACGTAACTTGAGATTTTTTAAAAATTATTAATGTTTTAGTATCTTGGTTCCATGATAGCTTATGCATGGATACACAAATGCAGCTTATATGATCTAAAAATAGATATTTTTTAAAAAATAGATATTCCAAAACATGTATAATAGAGATTTATTAGAGTGATTGAATCTGATTCATATGAAGTGTTAAGTCATGCAGATCAAGGCATTTCACAGTGAAATTATTCTGCTATTTTTTAAATAAGTCATATTTTTGCTTCTTCTGGGTGTGTATTTTCTATTATGAATCTAATTTTTCTGCATGAAATTTTTGGGGCTTGTTTTTCTGTGGTGTGTACATGACAGCTCCAGTTTAAAAAAAAACTGCTAAAATCAACATGTGGTGCTCTTTTTCCATGCCAATTTCACATGCCAATTTAAAGCAAGCTTGTTAACTTCCTTGTAGTCTTTACTGCTTATAGATCTACTTTTACTGTTGTTCCAGGCACACAGTGGAATTGAGGGGACTCAACTTGCTGGGGATAGGTGCAAGTCACATGGCAACAAAAGTCATTTTTCCTCCTGTGGATCTGTAAGGGGAAAATTACCTTCATGTGGCCTAACCAGGTAGTTTCCCTGCCCCCATCTGTTCTCTATTTACTGATTTCACACATATGCTGAAACTAGTAGAAAATAAGGTTTTGCTCTAAACTACTTCCAGGGTGCCATTTTAATACTTGAGTGACTCTTAAAGTTACCATCTGCCTTAAGTCTGTTATTCACATTTTCAGAAATAATCACTGTTTTGCAAATTTTTGTATCTAATTCAGGGTTCACTTGGATCCTATTAATTCATAGTTCCATGGCAATATATCAGCTGGAAACTAGAAAATTTTCCTAAGCCATGAGACTAGACAGTCTTGTAATTCCACTAACTAAACTTGTACTGAAGTGGTAAAGAAAAGAGTGGTTAATAAAGGAAATATTAGGATCGCTTTTGGTAATACGAAAAAAAAAAAAAAAACTAAAAGTACTAATGTAAAATACTAGGTGGTATATTGGGATTTGCAAAACTGTAACTCAAAGATGGATAATTGAGTTTTTTATTATACCTGAGAACCTAAAAGGCAATTATTTTTTGTCTGCTACTGAGAACCAAATTTTCTGCCTTGTACAAATGTCCTTTTGTGTTTACTTAAGACTCTTGATTGTCCCAGGGTGCTGTTGCTATGAAGCTAAACATCTAAACAGGGTATGTTTGTATTTCCAATATGCCACCATCTGACCTTGATTAAATTTTAGCTATTAGAAGTTGGTAAGTTTGGAGGCTTTTGAAAAAAACAATTATGTGCATGATTTCTCTAATATATTGATTGATGTGTAGTACTAAGGCTCATACTAGCCCACAGGGTGGATGTGGACAGTGTCACATCCATTACTGATTCATCACTCATACATTATGCTAGCCAGTCTCAACAAGATAGCTCATAGAACATTATGTGAGCAATTATTGAAAAATTACCCAGTGGGGACTGGGCACAATGATTCATACTTATAATCCCAGCTACTGGGAAGGCTGAGACAGGAGGATCACAAGTTTTGAGGTCATGTTGGGCAATTCTAGTTAGAACTGTCTCAAAAAGGATTGGGCATACAGCTCAATAGTAGAGTTCCCTGCTCAATACCTAGTATCACAAAGAAAAGAATCTAGGGGGAAAATTAAGGATTAAGCTATGCAGTACAGCAGTGCAATTTTACATTCCATTTGCACCCTTCCTCTGGGAAGAACTTTGTAGTTTTCTATTTTGTGGGTGGAATGTTACAGAAAGTATTTTAAAATATTGGAATGGAACCATGATTTTATTAGTAGTGTTTTGATTTAGGATAATATTCCTCAAAATTAAACAATGATATAACAGTGGCTTTTTGTTACCTTTTTTTTTCATAGTTTCCCTATAGTGGCACACTCATACAAAGCCAGAAATTCTCGGTTGTCCAGAGCTTTCCAAATACTATAAGTACAGAGGCCTAGGGTAGACACTAACTTGGGCTATCAACAGGTGGAAGTGTTCTGAGTTCACATGCACATCCACTAGTGCACAGCAACTAGATCTGGTTGTAGGGGAGCAGTTAGCTTTATCACTTTCGAACTTGGGAAAAAAAAATCCAAATGGCTGCACTCAGGCTGGCAGTTCATGTTAGGTGTCACCTAGGAAGGAGCTCAGCTGAGGCTGCTGGACAGGGTGGCTGGAATTAACCTGACTCTCGAAGTGGACCTGGACCCTCTCCATGAGGCTAACCTGGGCATCCTCTCAACATGGCAGCTGGATTCCAGTAAGGATCATCCCAAGGGAGCAAAACATAATATGTAGATACTTATTAATCTTTGGTTTGCATTATGCAAAAACTAGTCAAAGAAAAATAATTACACCTGTAAACAGGGCAGGTCCTGCTTTGGCCTCTTAGACAGGAAAAGTCCCAAAAGAGATGAGGAAAGATAAGAAGGGAAATGTTTTCACCAAGTGAAGCATGCTGCATTCTGACATATTTTGAGATTGTCATCAATATTTATGATAAATGAGCAACTAAACTCATTTTTTTGTCCAATAGAATTGTACTACAGTTCCATTGCTTTTTAATATCAGTGATTTTTTTAATCACTGAGAAGTCAGAAAAACCACTCATCTTCATTCCTCCAAATGTATTCATCACTCAAAAATTTTTGCATATTTCACAAGTCCACTCCCCACCCAACATATAATATACATGCCTATCTATAGAACTCTCAAAAAAAAAAAAAAAAAGCCTTGTTAATTTCTTGGTTGCTAGCACCATTATTACACTTGCTGAGCTCCTAATAATTAAGAATGTCATCCACAAGTCCTGTGTTATTGGGACCTCCTTGTGAGGATAAAGCTACCAACCTTGAAGTCTGCTCAAAAATGTAACAAAGTATAATAAGTTAATAAAATACTCTAAAAATTCACAGAACTTCACTCAGTATCCAGGAGATGTCATAGAAATATTGACTCTGCTTCTCTAAAAATAGCTCTAAGCCTGGGGTTGTAGCTCTGGTAGAGTATTTGCTTAGCTTGCACAAGATCCTGGATTCAGTCCCCAGCATCACGAAAATATATTAACAAAAGCAAAGTTATTGTTATATTTAACTCCTGGGAATGACCAAATTTTGTGGAAGGTCAGTGGCTTCACTCCTTCAATGATTAACAAACACCATGAAGCCAGAGTTGGAAAGAGTAGATAATACCCGGTGCATATTTAGGCTTGGCACCCATCTACAGGCTTTGTATTGACTAAAAATATTAGCTCAAGGGGTTTTTAGAAAATTTCTAACAGCTTCATTGTGCAAATGAGAAAATGAAAACCCTGCTTGATGAAATGGCTCACATTAGGTCCACAGTGGTAAAGTCTGAACCATGCCCCATCCTACTCTGCCCAGGTCTATCAAATTATGTGCTCAACCTAGCACATGTGGTAGATTTTTTCTTTTAAATCTGAGGATCACATTTGGGACATAGGTAAGAACTAGAGAACAACTTCACAGGAATTACAAGTTCAACCAGGGTGCTAAACAAGGATGGTACTGGAATTTAACTAAAATGAACTATTGTTCCTTTAACATCTACGTAGTGGGGGAAGATTTCTTCCAAACTCCAGGCTTTTCTGCTCATTCCTAGAACTATAGACTTGTGATCACTAAATCACAAACAGTCTTAATTCGGAAGCAAAAGAGTCCAGCCCAGTGAATCTACCCACATTCTAATCTTTGTCCAAGAATAGACCAGCCCAGCATTCTGCCTGGCTCATCACAAGGCCTGTGCTATTGGGATCTCCTTGTGAGTTTTTCTCCCATGGTAATCTCCTTGCATGTGGTGGAAGTGGGGAGAAAGTTCTGAGTTGGTTAGAACCTGCACTTGTCATGGTTGGCTGCATTGCCTCCAGGCCTGACCTGCACACCTTGTAGGCATTTGGGGGGCTCTTTAGTACCCCTTTCTGGACCCCTCCTGATAAACTAGTTTTGTTCCTCTTCTCCAGGGAGTTTTCTTCCAGTCCTGGCTCTTGGGAAGGTCTTCTACCACTGGCCCTTACCAGTGGATTCCCTGTCTCCCAGGCAGTCCTCCTAGGAAGGGTTCTAAATGGCTCCAGGTCAGCCTCTATCCCAAGTTCTTGCCCCATTATTAATAAAAATAAAGATATATCCCACATGCTCTACTGTCCTTTACACCCCTGCCATAGCCCCCTTGAATGCTCATGCTCTACAACAGCATGTCAACCTCCTTTTCAGTTTTATCACTGGATCCTACTCTCTAGTTTTGTGGAGAAGACAGTTCACACCCAGAGGGAATAGAACTCAGGTTTTAGTAGCTCTCTCCAAAGAAATCCCACAGGGCTGAGGCATAACTCAATGGTAGAAGGCTTGCCTAGCATGCACAAATCCCTGGGTTCCATCCCCAGCACCAAAACAAACAAAAAACCCTGCTGGGAGCCATTAGCCAAGTAGGTATGACAATTTCCTTGCCAGCGTACCCCATGTTGCTTAGTGGAAGGACTCGTGGAAATAGGACATTTTGCAGTGACATTGCATGTAGGTGACTTTGCTCAAGGACCAGGGCGGATCCGGGTTTAGGGCGTTCCCGGTTTAGGATAATCCAGGTTTAAGGTTATTCCTGCTGGGAATAGGGCGTATCCTGCTGCCTGAGTTCCCCTTGAGTTCTCACGGGATTCAGACAGTATTTTTTGGGAGACAGAAGCCCAGTGGGGGTGGATTTGGGCAGAGAACGTGGATTTCCCCAGAACGTGATTGTAGACGGCTGGTGTGAGTTCGGGAATAAAGAGTTGCTGTTTGAATCTACAAGCTGTGTGGTGGCTCGTGATTTTGTGCCCAGCCAGACTGCGGCATTTGGCGTCCGTGCGGGGAACGTCTAAAGCTTGGAGGTAAGTGAAATTGCTCGCCCCTGAGGAAGAGCGAAAGAATGGGTGACCAATTCAAAAAACAATGTGTTCTCGTTTTGATTTATTTTGTTTTTATTTCAAGTTGCCTGTTCCTAGAACTTTCTCAGGCAAACTGGGGAAAATGGTTGACTCAAGGTTTGAAGTTGTTCGCCTCCGAGCAAGAGAAATTGTTAGAGGAAGGAGGCACCCCAGTGAGACCAAGAACAATTAGGGCATATGTTGATACAATACAAAAATGTAGCCCATGGCTTTTTAAAGACGAGTTATTAAGTATATCAATGGGACCATCATGGTATCCTGTAGAAGGATTTTTCTTCAAGAAAGAGATGGCTAGTTCTGTTTACTACAATTGTCTAAGATCTTGTTTTTTACAGACATCTGATTAATTTACAAAGGTAAAGTGTTAAAATTATCAACCACTAAATATAAAATCAAGTACTCTTACTTATTAAGTTCCATAAGGTAATATATTTAAACATTATGTGTGTTTTCATAAATTGGTGAATGGAAAAAAGGTTTAATATTGCTTTGGTCTATGTCTTTGCTGAAACAAGGTTACTAAGTGTTAAGATTCTATCGTGTAATTTATATACAAAGAGTATAAGAAGTTTCAGTTGGGTTTCAATTATACTATTATAGTATCATAAAAAACATGAAAGTCTTTCATTTTATTAAAGTGGAGTAATTTGTCTAAATCAAAAATTTTATAAGAGTTGTTTCAAAATGTGAATTTATAAAAAGGGTTAACGGTTAAAAAAGAGATAGAAAAAGATTCAAGATGTGGAAATATATTTTAATATAAAAGGTTAAAGGAAAAAGAAATGTTTCTAGATGAGATAATCTCTGTGTGGTAAAGTAAAAAGTTGTAAAATGCCATTTAAAAAGATTTTGAGGAAACTAGACTTAATTTAAAAGCTTGAGAAAGGAAGAAAGAAGAAAAAGGTATTTGTACATGGCAGATTGAGACAAAGCTTCTCAATGGAGTTTAAAAAAAAAAGCCTTTGGTTGAAGGGCAGCCATGTAAACTAACATTGAAGCGATTTAAACAAAATCTAAGCCACATTAACCTCACTCCCCCACTGGCACCAAGGCCAAATTTGGGGGCCAACAGAGGTGAGGCAAAGAACCTCACACCCCCCCACTGGTGCATAGACCTATCCACAAGTATGGCTGTATGCTGGACCGGTAGTCAGTGACGGGTATGATCCAATTGCTGTGGTATCAACCTAAGACAGGAGGCTGACGCCTAAAGGTCAGTTTTCCGATGACGGGTAAGAACCATATGTTGAATTGGACAACCTACCAGGCACGGTCCTTAAGCCACATTGCTTGTTGTTTAATTAATCAGAAGGGGGGAGATGCTGGGAGCCATTAGCCAAGTAGGTATGACAATTTCCTTGCCAGCGTACCCCATGTTGCTTAGTGGAAGGACTCGTGGAAATAGGACATTTTGCAGTGACATTGCATGTAGGTGACCTTGCTCAAGGACCAGGGCGGATCCGGGTTTAGGGTGTTCCCGGTTTAGGATAATCCGGGTTTAGGGCGTTCCCAGTTTAGGACAATCCAGGTTTAAGGTTATTCCTGCTGGGAATAGGGCGTATCCTGCTGCCTGAGTTCCCCTTGAGTTCTCACGGGATTCAGACAGTATTTTTTGGGAGACAGAAGCCCAGTGGGGGTGGATTTGGGCAGAGAACGTGGATTTCCCCAGAACGTGATTGTAGACGGCTGGTGTGAGTTCGGGAATAAAGAGTTGCTGTTTGAATCTACAAGCTGTGTGGTGGCTCGTGATTTTGTGCCCAGCCAGACTGCAGCAAAACCCAAATCCCATAAACCCCCTTCCATTTCCATCTCCACTTTCTCAATTCATATTCTTCACTTGGGTGGGGGAGTTCAAGTGTCAGGAAACAGGCTCTTATTAGCTACTTTGAAAACTCCAATGAAACTCACACT